CTGAGAAAGTGGGGCCAATCAAGATAAAGGGTTGTTTTCTAGTCGCCCGAAAATAACGTCCAAGGCCTTCTGGGTGTTAATTTTTTCTTTTTCTTTCTTTTTTTTCTTTGTTTTACTTTCTAAAATGGGAGGCCGGCCAACCCCCTCCCCCCCCCACCAAATCCGTCACTTAATGACGCTGTCTGAGTTGGTTTTTGAATAGTTCAGTATTCAAGCAAACATGTTGGACTGTATTAACATGCTTACAACAATCTCTATTTTGCATATATTAGAAATGTACCAGAAAAATTTCAAGCATAACCATTTCAGACTAAAACAATGTTGAAAAATTCATATTACAGACTACAATAATGCAGCTCTGCTCAAATGGTCTTTTAAAGTTACCTGTGAACTGTCGTAACTTTTGAGGACATTGCCACCGCCCACCACAATCTGCTTGTAAGCGTAGTCACGGTTAAACCTCATCTGTGATTCATCTGAATTAAGATTATTAAAAACGTCAAGGGCAAAGAAAGAGTTGCATGTTAGGATAGGATCTGAGTATTTCGGTGTGAATCACACCAAGGATAACCAACGCAGTCTGAAGACTTATTTCCAGAGGGGTCCTTCTGGTGGCGAATTGGGCAGTGCACCAGGAGACAATCCCCTACTCTTTACAGAATAGTGTACTGCGGTCTTTAACATGCACATGGGCTATTATGCCACACAGAACCAACAGCTTCAACATCTCAACCGAAAGACAGTGCACTATCGTAACTTGTATTTCAGCCCTCCAGCTGAAACACAAGGAGAGCAGTGATGGGAATTGAACCGGGGACCTAGAGATGTCCGTGGTTCAGCGCACACACACACAGTGGTTCCACCAGTGAACTAAGCTGCTCTCTATAATAAAATGATATACTGAGTGAAAGCTGGGCTTAACTACAGCATTGAAAAGAAATGGTTTGTAATAATAAATGATAATAGTAACAATAATAATAACTATGATCACCATCACATCTAGCAGCATGAACTTTATCATCATCTTCACCAATATCATTGCCATCACAAATAATACTATTACCACCAGCCCTAGTAATATTATTACTATCACCGTTGGTGCTACCAACATTATTACCATCACCAACACTACCATCACCACCATCACTACCATCATCACCATTACTACATCAAATGGCAACAGTTGTTGTAACGGTTGTGGCTCTGACTCACAACTTTGAGGTCGGGGGTTTGAACCCCTGGATGTGCAAAGTTGTGTCCTTGGACAAGGCACTTTTCTATGTTTGTCTCTCTCTACCCAGGAGAATACAGTGAGTGGGTATCTGGTAGGATCTAATACCAAGCACGGATTCTAGCTGCTTATGGCTATAGCTACATAAATGTCTCGCCAAATTCTCACCATCACTACCATCACTTCATAACCAATAGGAACCTTAAAACACTAGTCTTCTAAATCCTCTGCAAAGTTCCATACTGCATCCATACCTTCCGAGGTAGATCCATCAGATGAGGAATTGGCAGATCTCTTCACCACATCTCCATGTGTTATCAAGAAGTTCATTCCTTTGAAAATGCTCTTATTTTTTGGCAATGGTCCCATGAATGCTGAAACATCAACTCGAGGGGAACTGGTGGAATTGTTTTCTGCACTGGTTTTCTTCTTTTTCAGAGTGGGTGTATAAGGTTTCTCCACCATCAATTCATCGTGGTCTGTATGGACAAATTCAAAACATCATTGTACAACCAAAGTTATTATACTATATTATTAATTTATAACAATAAATGAATGTTTTTTTTTCTATAGATTTCTGCATATTATTGTACACTTCTTCTGCAGACTTGTCTCTCCCACAGGGAGGACTGCCAAGTGGGGGGGGGATGTCTCTCTCCAGTAGTGTCTCAAGGAATATGCCAATCATAATACCATTTTTCAAAGATCAGGACATTGTCTTTGTACCACAAAATGTGTACACACCAAGTTTGATTATTTCTTACCAATACTAGTAAATATGCAAATACTACAAAACCTCAATGGGCTTATTCTTGAGAAGAGTGGATCTGAAAC